GGTAAGTGATAAAAAAGTTTTAAGTAGGGGTGTAAATGATTAAAATTTTTGGGAAGGAGGTAAGTGATTCTAAAGAAACTTATAGGGATTTTTTTGAAGTTTTCCCTATATATATATATATATATATAGGGAAAACATCTGTCATTTTAAAGGATATAAGTTTATATCCTTTTAGATCCTAATCGTTGATTTCCGTCCATCAACGGTTATAATTTATTGGATCAAAATTATTAATTAATTAATAATAATTTTGACCCATTAAGTTTGACTCAATAGATTATAACCGTTGATGGACGGAAATCAACGGTTAGGATCTAAAAGAATATAAGCTTATATCCTTTAAAAGAATATATGCTTTTCCATATATATATATATGGGGGCTTATCGTTTCTCAAACTGCTTGAATATCTTATGAATAGATCCTAAATCATGTTGATTGATCTATTACCTAATGTAACCGATGTTTTTGATGTTAATTCAATAAGAACGTGAGTTTCAGAGTAACATTAGTGACCGACTTTGATAAATGTACATGCATCCTTAAACCTTGCGGCATCTAGATAGCCTATCTTTTATATGTAAATTCCAACTTCATTGTAAATTTAGAATCTACATTCTGAAAAAAAAATTCGTTATCATCTAAGATCTAATTCTTGTACTACTAAATAAAGCTATTTTTTATTTTTATTGATTCTATTATGCCAAAAGGAAAAAAAATTCTCATATTATCCTCAAAAAAATTTAGTTTTCCTTTATTAGTTCATAAGATTGAAAGACAATACTAAAGATTCCACCACTTGATACACATTATGATACATTTGGAATGGTTATGAATATTATGTATCTTATGCTTCAAGTGTTTGTTATATGCATTTTATTCTAGTCATATATTTCATTTGATATTTTAGGACCAAAGCACATTATTTGTGATACTTCTAATTCCTTACTTTTTTTTATATCTTTTGGTCATGAATTTAATTGTAGCTGATTCATGCATTTTTTATTGCTCAATGTTATATTAGGCTTTTGATATTATTACCTGTCAATCATTTCGAATACAGTCATACTTGTATAACATAAATTATTCACCTATTTATACTTTGTCTATAGATTTGGGAAACCTATGGACCATATAGCTTAATATAATTTATATCTTATAGGTTTTGTGACTATGTACCATATAATTTTAAGTTATACTGTTAAGAGAATTTTATATCACTTATGTTCATAAATATTAGTCTTGATCTCATTTATTCTTACCATATAAACCCAGAAAAAGAACAAGAAGAAAAATGAAGAAGCTTTCGGGTTTCTTTATTACTCATCAAAAAGATTCAGAGAGAAAACAATGTTTAAGTATAAAAGTCAAGACTAAAAACTAAAAAGCTAAAGTTCATAAAAGTAAACTTACAATCAGTCCATAAAATTAACTATGGTTACACTAACTATGGTTACAATAACACAAACTAGAGTAAACTAAAAATAAAAGTTATTTTTATACGTATTACTCCCCCTCAAGATGAGTTGTGGATGTCCAACACTGCCATCTTGGACAATAGAGTGAACAAGGCAGAAGCTAACAAAGCCTTTTTCAAAGTGGCAAATGGCAATCAATCTCTATGTGTTTAGTCCTCTCATGGAAGGTGGGATTTGAGGCAATATGAATAGCATCCTGATTGTCACAAAAAATAGAGCACAAGAGAAATCAACAAAGCCAAGATCAGTTAATAATTGAGATATTCAACTTAATTTAGTATCAGTGGTTGCCATTGCCCTGTACTCGTCTTCAACGAAGCTTCTAGAGACTGTTGTTTGCTTTTTAACCTTCCACGATATTAAGGAATCTCTAAGAAAAATGAAAAAAGCAGTGACTGATCTTCTGGTGTCAAGATATCCTCCTCAAATGACTATCATGTGAAATTTACACGAGAGGATACACTCTCACCAATAAAACAGGAGATTCAAATTGTAAACCCATAATTCAACTTGCCTGTGGGTGGAACAGGGGGGTCATCAACCAAATTCGTAGCAGGAATGGGTGGATGTTCCAGACCTCCAGTGATATCCTCGCATACCAACCTAAGCAAAGTATAAAAGATGTTAGCCTAATATAATTGGGATAAAGCATATTAAATATTCAATTTACAAAAGTTTCTTCATTGATTAATGATGGGCCTTCAATAAATATCCAAGCCCATTAGTTATCATTTGTTAGGATTAGAATATATAGACATTTAGGGTGAGGTTTCATTATGCATGTTTTCAGATAAATTGGAGTGGGGAATTGGGAGAGGAAATAAGGATGCTCTCAAGGCTAGGGATGTTGCCTTGGAGTGGACTTTTTCCTCTAGGTGTCTTTCTATGTTTGCATTACTGTAATTTGTTGTTAATCTTTATCTGATTTCATTTTATATCAGTGTTATTTTTCTGGGTTCCATCAATTACCCTCGTATTTCTGCAGGTGACTGAGGTATGCGACCATGAGTGAAATAAACTTGTCATCACAACAAAATAAGCTAAGATCCTTTAAAGCCCCACTGCTTGGATTGCAAAATCACCCTAAAGGAAACAGATGAAATATGACTATCAATATGAATCTAGATAAAGAGAATTACAACAAAAAAGATCATGACTATACACAGCTCTACAACTAGTCATTTGAATACCTACAAAACGAACACTAAACTGGGGAAAGTAAGAAAACTTCTTTTTGATTAAAAAAATCATGGGACACAAGACACATATAACATAGGAATAAGCTAAATGCTAGTGGGTTACTAGCTGTCAGATATCAATCTCACTTCTCTTTCTTTAAAAATTGCTATAATGAACTTTGTAGCATTTTCTTTGTATATAACTAAAGTATAGGAAATCACAAGAGTTGGCAAGAATACATGTTAAGTAAATAAATACTGTTACATATTTGTGTGTTCTAGTTAATTTTGTAGTTCAGTTAGATTACTTATTCTTTTATACTTGTATTAGAGCTATATAAATATGAACTTGTAGAATTTATCTCTTTGATAAAACTAGAACAGCCTTGACAGATTGGTCAGGGCACTTTCATGCTCAAACTCTTTGGGTTTATCTCATCTCTATTAACCAAACCCATTCTTAGACCTTCACCAAACAACTAAGGCTTTTAGGTTTATTACTATTTTTGCATCACCAAAACTTTTTTGTAAGGCAAATACTTTCCTATGGAACACTTATTTAGCAGCTCTTGGTTGGTGAGGCACTGTGTGTGACCCTCTACTTTAAGGCAGTCTTAATGGTTCGTTATGAATGTTTTGATGAAAACAAGATGAAAACAAGAAAGTTGAAATCTTGTGGCAGCATGCAATTTATGCAGTTCTATAGTGTAATTCAATAGAGGAGAACACTTATATTTTCAAGTTTACCCTTTTCCCCTTTACTCTTAAACTTGTTATGCATGGGATAGGATTTTGTTTATGGCTGCTTTAGGTGCTATTCCCATAAGGCCATAACTATTTCCATTTCCAATTTACAGAGCAAGGGACTGGCTTTTTTGTTGTATCTGGACTCCATTTTTCGTCTAGAAGCACCTTGTTGCCAAGGTCAACTCGAGGCTCAAGGGGGAATCAGTCCTACACCCGAAGGGTATAGCGAAACCCCACTTACATCTTTCTACCCCCAAAACCTCCCAAAAAAATAATCAATATCTAAACAAGTAAATGGGTAAGAATTAAAGTGTTACAAACCCAATCTAAGAAATCAAATAGCAACAAAATATATGGATGGGTCGTTGCTTTTTCCCATAGTTAAGCTATTACGTTCACATGTTTAAACCAGAATTCAACATCCCCATTATTTCACTTTGAAAATATATCAAGTCACTATGTCACAACTACATTACTGTTGGTCAGTCCTGAGGAATGTATCATAGCCATAAAAATTTATTTAGCTTCTTCACTTCTCCATTTTTTTTTATTTTTTATTTTTTTTTGGTACATTGCCAGGAGGTATCCCCATTCAACCTTCTCCGGGCACCATGCCCTCAAGGTACGGCCCGTTTAGGCTAGCCCCTCATTGTAACAGTGGGTGCACTAAGCTTCGCAACCGGAGAAAGGACGAGACTAATCCCCTAACCGAAGATTTTTAGCTTATCCTCTGGCCTCCAAAGATTTTCCAAGAAACTGCTTGAGGCAGGGTTTGATCCCTGCACCAAGCAATCCCTTGGAAGCTCAGCTGCCAACTGAGCTACCCTTGGGGGTTCACTTCTCCATTTTCATATATAATTCCTTCTAATTAAATTCCAACCTCTGCTTTATGATAAATTTGTAGTGATTTTACCAAACACAGACAATAAAACAAGAAAACATTTTCTAGATGAAATTAGAACAAATATAATTGAACCTGATTAGTGGTTAATGTAGACTGCCCTTCAAGTCTCCTAAGTCGAAATTTATATACTATAAATCCAGATATTCCCTTTTCTGGCCAATAGTTGACAACCTGCAAAACATGAAAAGAAAGGGCATAAAAGATTTGAAGTATCACCCAAAAATTGGAAGTAAATCCTGTCTCCATATTCCATATCAATCTGTTTCACCAGTTAAAAAGTGCAATTTTAGAGACCAGAGTAAATGCACTTACGGTAACAACTAAGAATTCAAATTGCAAGAAATTTAACATCAATGCTAGCTCCTGAAACCAATTGTTTCAGGTGCCAAAATCAATCATGAAAAGAAAGCTTCAATTCCTTTCTCAACAAATTATTACTAATAGATTGCCTTTGATAAACAGTTGGAGAAGAGAAAGAGGGATTTTATCCCAACGACATCAGATGGAAAAGATTTGTGGACTTGCTGTTGACAATGTCATTTTCAAGACGAGATTATATATTATATCAATGCAGTATTATGCAAATATATTGGTAAAGAAGAAATAGTCTGTTAGCAGCAGATCCCTAAGTTGCACTAGAATAGATAAACTGAAGAATGCCTCGGGAATTTTGTGAGATTGCCTATAAAATTAAATGAAGAGTTCAATTAAACTTCACTTATACCCCCAATATGATATGGAACAGAATGCTGGGAAGCGAATGGAAACTATAAGTAAAAGATATAGGTTATTTAAATAAAAAATGTTATGAAGGATGAGTGCGCATACCGGGGTTGAAAAGATCTAAAATGAGATCATTAGGAAGAAGGTTGGAGTACCTTCTATAAAGGAAAAAAATGGTGGAAAAAAAAACCATTTAAGATGGTTCCCTCATGTTAGACAACATATTAGGATCTGGTCATCCAATGTGAAATTACGAAGGATGCCCCTTTAAATAGATGTGTCAAGTGTTTTTTGCTTTCAAAATACTTTGAATTTGATAAGACACAATACAACCAGTAAAATTTTAATGGCCCAAGTGCCTTGTTGCACCTAATTACGTCCAAAAATAATCCAATTGAAATCTTAAATAATTGACCCAGTTTGGTGGACATTTCAATAGTCCAAGTCCAACCACTAAGGGCACCTACTTCCAAGAAAAAATGCAAGTATAGTGAAAAATAAATATGCAGAAGACAGCAAATATTGAACATCGCTTGAGGAGAGAGACCAAAGTATCTGTAAATCAATTAGGGTTTATGCAAGGAAGATGTACCATGAAAACCATTTTCTTGTTGCGACAATTAACAGAAAGATATTAAGAAAAAAATAAGGATTTACAAAGGGTGTTTAAAGATCTTGAGCAGGCAGACAATAGGATTCCAAGAAAGGTTCTATGGTGGGTTCTTGAGAAAAAAAAGTACCATCATAATATGTCAATGCAATCAAAGATATGTATAATGGTACTACTACATGTATGAAAACTTGTACTGGAACATCAGATTGTTTTCCTATCACGGTAAGTGTACACTAAGGTTCTCCTCTAAGTCTTTATCTTTTTGCCCAAGTTATGGATGAACTAAGAAAAGATATTCAAAAGAAAGTGTCATGATGTATGCCTTTTACAGATGATATTGTGCTTATTGATGAGACCAAGGCTGGTCTTAATAGAAAACTAAAATCGTGGAGAAACATGTTACAGTCTAAAGGATTTACATTAAGCTGGAGCAAGACTAAGTATATGCAGTGTGATTTTTCTCCAGTAAAAGATGGAGATCAAGATTATATGCATATGCTTGGACAAGACATTTATGGCTAACCAGTCTAGAATCCAAACTCCATTTCCATTTCATAGCTTCTTCATTTTTATGGTCCTGTTTTTAATTTTGACATATAAATTTGATTTATTTATTGATAATCATATAAATGTAGCTGTGTCACAGAAAGAAGTCACTTTTATCATTATCTTAAATTGAAAATTTTGAACCACTACTATGTGGTGTTGTGGAAACAGAAAAGAATAAGGAGTGCAATTTACGAAACTCCACAAAATGACATTTGCATGATTGCAACTCACATAGTGCAGGAGAATATGTGAACTTAACAAACCTGAAAGACATGCAATCTGTTGGTGTTTTCTGAAGTTCCCTTGATTCATTCACTTGATCTTGATCCTGCCCTCTATTATTAATATTTGGAACTGCATTGGACTTGGGAAACTCAACAAGTTTGGAGTACTTAGCATAGTTGATCAATCTGGTATCATCAACAAAAACACTTCTGTCAAGCTTCCTAGGATCAATTACAGATTGAGGATCACGGGTAGTCATGCACACAGCTGTTGAAGTCTGAGAGTAGCACATAAAATCCTTTCTCATTTTCCTGTTACTGGTTTTCATGCTCATCATAGGTTACTACACAGAAAAGTGAGTCTTTTGAGTTAGGGGAATATTAGTGTTCAACAAAAAGTGCAAGCTAAGAAGGAAGTAAACGAGGGTATGATGTTAAAATATATTAGTATTGCAATGCTAATGCTGGTTTTCTGAGTGGGAGAGAATTGGAGAAAGTGACAATCCCATGAGCACTTCAAAAGGAGTTAGATTTAGCTAATAGTTCAAGCAATTCTAAAGGAAAAATAATGGTATACAGGTTGAAATTGAACTTGTAACAAAACTGAAATATATATACAACAATCATGTCAACCCGAAAAGAGATAATGGACATCTCAAAAACCCTTCCTAGCAAGGTTAGTGGTGGGTGTATGTGAGAAAGAGACAGAGAAGAGTTAAGTTTCACTTTATACAAAAAAAAGAAAAAAACTACTCCCCGTTAAACCCGACTAAACTTCAAAAAAAAAAAAAAATCATTGACAGCATTCACGTGTTCTTTGCTTTTTTTCTTTTTTTCTTTTTTGCTTTTCTGGTTTCCCACCATTTTTTTAAGACCAATATCTTCTTCTCTATGATTGTTTCAGACCTAGAACATTGAAAGGGTAAAACAAAAAAAAATAAGAAACAGGGAAATTTTCAAAGCAAAGAACACGACACAGCTGTTCATGGAAAAGTTAACATCGCTTATCAACGAATGGTGGCAGGTGGCAGCTTGCAGCTCAATTCCGATCACTAATGTCCAGATTGCAGCTCGAATAGATACTGACCATTGACTAAGGTCAATGAGTTAGAGAATTAGGAATCTGTATTGGTACGAGACTGTACATTACAGCTTATAAATATATGAGAAATATAATTGGGATGACATTATATAAGGAAAAGAAAAGGAAAAAGTTAGTTCATATAATTACATAGAGTAATATTTTCACACTATCAGAGTAATGCTTCCGTAAATTATAATAGATTATGATGCGCTTAATACCACAAGGTGTTATAACTGACTATGCTTCCTTTCATATGGGCTTTTGGTGTTTACTATGGGCCGATTAATCTTTTGTTCCTCTTGTTGTTTGCATATGATCGTTGAGCTGTTGTTCCCCATTTTCTCAACAATGCGCAAAGTTTTCAATATTTAAACTTTTACAGATGCTCAGCAATACTTACAGCTCATCTCTTGAATAGAACAGAGAGTGAAGTGTTACAATAATTACATCCACTAAATTGACAAGAAAACTAATTTTCTCACACCATAAACCAAGCTTTATGAAATCAGGCAAATTAATCTGTAAACAATGTTATGGTTGCCACGAATAGAATCTAGACCTACGTTAACAATAAGTATACTTGCAACTTCCAACTGAATACAGATTTTTATGAGTCCAGAACAAAAATGTAATTAAATTTGTCATTAAATCAAATCCGAAGCATTCAACTCTTGAGTCCAAATAGTTACATAGCTCTAGCATTCCACTCATCAAAGCAGTAACAGCTCTTACCTTGATGAATTTTTTTGAATATTTGGAAGGCCACTCATCTCATCCTCATCATTTACAGCAGACCTACATGCACATTTATATCATTACAATAACCAGAGAAGGTACTTATATGAGTGTAATCATTGCAACGAAGTACAATTCAAAGCTGAAGCAGTTCTACACATTGAGACATGGATAATTAGCACAACATCAAATAAACTATTTTGTAAATAGAAGGATAAAATAATAAATTAACCATTTTTAGGGCACTTCACTTGCATTCTGAAATTAATTCCTGCCAGCAACTTATAACAGAACTTGGATCAAATCATTTTGTTACACTTGTATGCTTCTAACATTAAAATAACTTTTGCATATTAAAATTTACATTTTCATATTATTTCGTGAACTTTTAAAATACCAACAATTAGCTGGTGTCCTCTAACTACAGCCACCTATCTTGCAGATTTCAAAATGAAGGTAACATCAAGTGTATAAGGGTCCAACAAATATAAAACTTAAATGAACATTAGGTCTATAAACTGGGGTTCAGCTCAGCATATGAAATGTGTACCTGTCAAAAACATATAACAGCCCTATTAGCCTTACAATTTTTTATACCATGAATTTCATGCATATATTTCCTATAGTGGTAGAAATGGCAAAACTCAGTCTAAAGCTCAAACCAAGAAAAGCTTGATAATCTATACGCACAAAATCATTTCACACCAATTAATATGAATTAGAGTCTTTTAACACAAAAACCTATCAAAGTATCCTATTTAAATAAGTACTAATAAAAGAAAAAACAGGGAAAATTATAACAAGGGAACTATGGTATTTATAGCATTAGGGTCTTTTTTAATATACAAATATAAATAATTAAAAAAAAAAACTTATATTGTCATCCTGACAGCTGCATGATAATCAGAGATTGCATGTTATCAAATCTTTGGAAACTTCAATATAACTTATCAGAATGTATGCAGTAAAGATAACTAAACCATGCCACAGTGGCCTCACCTTTTATACTTTGTTACAGTCCATGTACCCCAAAAATATCTTTCAACTCAAAAAAAAAATCCCCACAAGCTTAGTCGTTTTACTATATATAGATACTCAATCCACATTCCAATGTAACATAGTCTCACCTTAAGAACCATGAAAATCCCACTTTCAACCCTGCAAGTGTTCCATATCTTCAGCCCATGTGCCCCATTCAGGCCATCAAAGCCAATGTCATGGGAAGAGAGTGTTCCATATCTTGCGGACATTGTCATCCTGGAATGCTGTGATGGAGCAAAGTAAACTTCAAAGCACACATTGCTTTTTAAAAGTTGAAACCAACCCAAAATGTGTGACATTTATCCCAAAAAAAATAAATTACATAGCTCTTGAAGTGAAACTCAAATGAAAAAAGAAACAATCATACGTTAAATTTGTTGAAGGATTGCATATTAAATAATACAGTATTTAATACATTTTATTGTAAAAATTGTTCAAAAATTTAGGCACAAAAATTAATTAATTGCAATTTAAACAAATAATTATGAATTTATTACTGTTTTGAAATTATTTACTCGTGTATTGCAATGTGTCATGCTCTGATTGAGCGTAACCACTCACGCCTAACCTAAATTAGGTATGACTCGTCTGATGTTGACATGTGATATAAAAAATTTATAATTTAACTATAAAATTTTTACTTTTGTATAATCAAGACTGATTTAATATTGTTAGTTAACTAAATTGGTTCATAATTGGATACTTAAATTACTGATTTAGTATTGTTAGTTAACTAAATTGGTTCATAATTGGATACTTAAATTTCAAAACTAAAAATATTTCAATATAACAATAACTTCAAAGCACACATTGCTTTTTAAAAGTTGAAACCAACCCAAAATGTGTGACATTTATCCCAAAAAAAATAAATTACATAGCTCTTGAAGTGAAACTCAAATGAAAAAAGAAACAATCATACGTTAAATTTGTTGAAGGATTGCATATTAAATAATACAGTATTTAATACATTTTATTGTAAAAATTGTTCAAAAATTTAGGCACAAAAATTAATTAATTGCAATTTAAACAAATAATTATGAATTTATTACTGTTTTAAAATTATTTACTCGTGTATTGCAACGTGTCATGCTCTGATTGAGCGTAACCACTCACGCCTAACCTAAATTAGGCATGACTCGTCTGATGTTGACATGTGATACAAAAAATTTATAATTTAACTATAAAATTTTTACTTTTGTATAATCAATACTGATTTAATATTGTTAGTTAACTAAATTGGTTCATAATTGGATACTTAGATTATTGATTTAGTATTGTTAGTTAACTAAATTGGTTCATAATTGGATACTTAAATTTCAAAACTAAAAATATTTCAATATAACAATAACTTCAAAGCACACATTGCTTTTTAAAAGTTGAAACCAACCCAAAATGTGTGACACTTTTCCCAAAAGAAATAGATTACATAGCTCTTGAAGTGAAACTCAAATGAAAAAAGAAACAATCATACGTTAAATTTGTTGAAGGATTGCATATTAAATAATACAGTATTTAATACATTTTATTGTAAAAATTGTTCAAAAATTTAGGCACAAAAATTAATTAATTGCAATTTAAACAAATAATTATGAATTTATTACTGTTTTGAAATTATTTACTCGTGTATTGCAATGTATCATGCTCTGATTGAGCGTAACCACTCACGCCTAACCTAAATTAGGCATGACTCGTCTGATCTTAACATGTGATACAAAAAATTTATAATTTAACTATAAAATTTTTACTTTTGTATAATCAATACTGATTTAATATTGTTAGTTAACTATATATATATATATATATATATATATATATATATATATATTAATTTAACAAATAAAAATGGATTTGTATAAGATAACTTTTTTTTTTTGGTAAGCATTGTAGGATAACTTTAATTCACCGGAAGTTAAACTAATTTTTTTTTTTTTTGGTAACTGCTTATATATAGGTGATTTAAATATAATAAAGAAGGGATTTGGTTAAGCGTATTTTAGAGGAAAAAGTAAAAAAAAAATTCAATTATGAATAAAATTAGATTTTAATATAATTAGATATATGAACATGCATAATACAATATAAATTTATTAAAATTAATTCTGTTAATTGTTTATTAATTGGTTAAATTATGTTTTTGAAATGAATTTCTCAATTTTTTATTTGTAGATAATTGATTTATGAAACCTTTTACATTATACGTGGTAAATTTTATTTTATTCACTTACACCTCGTAGAAGATATGAGTGAAGACGAGATTTGATCACAAAATTTTACAACTAACCCTAAAAGATTTTAACAATCAAGTTAGTTAGTATCTAAATTGGATCTCTTTATCATAGAGAAGCTACATCCAATGGTTATAATGATGCTATATTTATCCCAAACAAAATGATAATGATGCTATTTGATATTGATAGACAAAATAACTAAAGTTAAAATAATTTGAAAATACTAAAAAACAAAAAACTTTTTGATAAGTAAAATGGACTATAGGTTAATTTAAGTCTCTATTAACTTATCAAAATACAATTGGTAAGCTGATTTGTCCCATGTCACCATGGATTTACCAATTGCTAAATTAGGGTGGGTTTGTTTCGAGATCTCAAATCAATTTTGGCAACTTTGTCAATAATTACAAACTCAGACGTGAACATCATTAGTAATATGTTTTTAAAAATTGAATTAAACTCAGTTTGATCATTATTAGTCACATTCAGGGGCGGAGCTCCTAAACTTTGATTATTTTATTATTATATATATAAATGATATTTTTCTAATAATAATAAATTATTAGCTCTAATAGTTAATTCCCCCTAAGAAATATTTATAATAATTAATTTATTTTGTTATTCCTAATAACACTTGTAACTTTGGTATTTTGCCCCATCACAAAAAAATTCCTAGTTCGACACTGGTCACATTACGCAATTTGACCATCAATTTATGAGTTAAAAAAAAAGAGTATATATATAAAAAGGTTCCAGCTGTTGGCAGCTGTGATGCACGGACACGAACACGGGACACGGGACACGACACGACACGCCGACACGTTAATTCTAAAAAATGTCATATTTGGACACGTTGGGACACGTTTTGATATTAAATAAAAATTTTAATGTATATAATATGATTTATATTTAATACATATAAGAATCCATAATAAGTCATATAACCAATTAAATATTTAAATTTTATTACATAAATATAAGTATAAATAATTTTTCGTAGTTTGTTAATTTTTAATGTCAAATTTTATAACAGGAAAAAAATTAATTTATGAATTATTTCTTTTATATTTAGTTAACAAAAAAAAATTAAGATTTAAAAAAAATAAAAAAATAAAAAAATAAATAAAAAAATAAAAAAAACGTGTCCGAGCGTGTCCCCAAATATTGACCGCGTGTCCTCAAATATTGACCGCGTGTTGGAACGTGTCGGAGAGTTGACCACGTGTCCTCAAATGTTTACCGCGTGTCGGACGCGTGTCCGAGCATGTCCGTGTCGAACACGTGTCCGACACGTAAGTTTCCAAAGAAAAAGCGTGTCCGTGCATGGGAGGTTGGCAGTGAGGTCTAGGAATGGAGGCCATGAGCCCAGCCCATAAAAGATACTGATGTACATTATTTCATATTGGTAGATATTAGTATAAAAACGTGGATTAGAGGATCAAAGTCTGTTTTATGATCACGGGAGAGCTGGGTTAGGTAGGGCATTTGTTGCTTGAAATATATATATATATATATATATATATATATATATATATATATATATATATATATATATATATAGAGGCAGAATCCATTGACACGAGTGTCAAATTTTAAATTTGACACCTCATCTGATAGTTGTTAGATAAAAAAAGATCAATTGTGTCACATGCTTGCAAATCAGAGTCGTTGATCTTTTTTGATCTAACGACTATCAGATGAGGTGTCAAATTTAAAATTTAAAATTTGACACTGGTGTCAAAGGTATTGCAGTAAACCCAATACTCAATTATATATATATATATATATATATATATATATATATATATATATAATATGGGTTTTATAATTCTCATTCAACATGAGAATTAAAACTTTCCTACACACCCTTCGATTTTCGTGCTGACATGGGTCTTACATATAATTTTTTCTAATACATGGATCCCACATGTTTTTTATCTCTACAACATGAGATTTCAATTCTCCTTCAACATGAGAATTATAAAACCCTTCTTTTTTTACTTAAAAATAATGTAACAATATATAAAAATCATAAATGTATTATTTTAGGACTATTCACTCATTACTTTAAAAAATCAGAAACATTTAAATTCTTTAAATTAACTGTTTTAAATTGATCCGCATCAACTTTAGTGTTAAAATAATAATAATATTAATAATTAAAAATAATTATTTGTCCACGTTCTATAACTTAAATTTGGTTGCAGGTAACAATCATACCCCAAAAAGACCATTTATTCAGCATTATAAACACAACGAAATTATGAAAAAGAACAAAAATGTAGCTCAAAAATAGGCACCTACCATCACCTTCCAAAATTATTGAAGAATATCTCTCAAGAAACATAAGAAAAACAAAAATAAGAATGAAATATGTAACTTGCCTAACAACCTCAAATTCTTGAAGCTTCACCTAATACCTGGCTTTCTCTTTCCAGCCATCTGACATCTAGATATGTACATGTTATTGTGTTGACCATGGTATAGGTATTTACAAGAAACTATCTCATCTCAGGGTATATATATTCCTTCTATTGATCTTGCTCCATTTCTTTTCACTATCAATCTATCTCTGAACCCCAGATAGCTAACAATGGTTGAACATAATTTACCGGTTCCATGACCTCAAGTATGGCTTTCCCATTTGATCATGTAAAGCGGGATTCTGAGGCTGCAAGCTCATCCATGCCATATCATCAGGCACCAGAGCATTAGGTGCCTCACGTCCACTGAAGTAATCTAATGGATGAGAAGATGGGGATACAACAGCATTGATCCTGGGTGTACTTGCATCTACTACTCCAAAGGTTCTTGGAGCAAGGAACTGGTCACTGTGTCTCACTGACTCATAAGGACTACCTGAACGTAATTGGCTACAATGAGATAAAATACTAAATAAGCTTTGATCTGAGTTCCCTCCAGTGCCAAGGCTCTGACTAGATAGACTCCCACCATCAGATCCATTCCAGCC